TGCTGAACCCTCTTCAGTTCCTCCACATCCTGGGGAGAGCCCCAAGACTGTTTTGAGAAGAGAGAGAGAGAGAGGATAACTCCCTCAGCCTGCTGGTGTTGGCCCAGGAGGTGGTTTGTCTTTATTTGCCGTAAGAATTCTTTGTGGGCTCCTGTTCGTACTTGTGGACATCCACAGTAACCCAACATCCTTTTTGGAAGTGCTGCCCTTCGGCCAGGGACTTCCCAGCTGATATTGGGGCAAGGGATGACTTCTTCCCAGAAACAGAATATTGCAATTCTTGTTGAGATTTGTGAGGTGTCTGTTGGCCCAGATTTTGTTATTAAATTGACCTAGATTCTGTTATTAAATCTGGACCATTTGTTATATTCTCATGTTGTTTTGATCCTTTTAGACTCAAATGAAAAATTAAGAACTGGGTGCTATGAAGAGCCACTGGGGATTTAGGTTGTGGGATTTTGAGTAGAATTAATTTTGAAGTATATGCATGTTATTCCAAAATTATGTACATGTTCTTCCATTAAGTTTTGTGTTTATGGAAAATGTAAATTTTGGGTCAGAATAGAAGTACATGAAAAAAGAGACAATATTATCAGATAATTAAGTCAGTGGACAGGAACATATGTCTAAAATGAAGCAGAACAAAACCTGACAGTGGATAAAGAATGGGATAGAGTACCTGTCACGAAAAAGCCTATAATTAAAATACATTTAAAATTGCCAAAGCTTTTAATATGGCTTTATCCATCATATAAAATTGTTTGTTATGCAGACAAAAGTGTAAGCTTTGAGTTTGTTTCTCCTTCATTCTCTTTCCTACATTTCACTATTTCTCCTTTTCTGTGTCTTTTGGGGTTTGCCTCTTGTCTAAAAAGGGTATTGGTTAGGTAGTAAAGAAGAATCCATCAGTTCTTAGAAATACTGAAGAGAAGACAGCTTAGCATGAAACTTGTAAATAATTTACAAGTTTTGGAGTCTTTCATAAGCCCATGTGCTGGAGGTATAATTTCCCAGCAGTAAAATTGCAAGCAAGAGAGATCATCAAAAAGCAGAATCATATATATTATTCTCTGTCTCTTCTTTCTGTCAGTTTATATTATTTTCTCTTTATAGGAGGAAGCACTGGACTCAGGAAATACAGTTCCAGATGAACTTTTCCTCCTTTTTATTCTCCAGAAGGAAAATATAATACATCATTAATGCAATTTTAAAAGACTGTCAAAAAGAAATTTTCTGTAACAAAATAAATTATATACAGCTGGAGGAAAAAAGAATATAGGAAATGGTTTAAATAGGCCTCACATTTTTCTTTAAAACTATTTAATAATTTTCCTCTCTTTTATAAGAGTTTAATGAAAGGTTAGAAGGATTTTTTTAATTATAGTTGCTACAATGGAAGAAGTCAGCAATAACTTGACATAAAGCCATGGGGCACACTTAACAATTCCAATATTAAATCTCTTTCACTGAACTAGAGAAATCTCCTGATATACACAATAAAGACAGATTTATGAGTCAAGAAAAGAGCAGTCTTGGAGGTAAATGATGTTCACTACATATAGATTTATACTAAAGTTATTTAAGAACAGAAGTGTTCTCTGTCTTGTAGAGTCTCAGAGGAAAGACCCAAGCTAAAGAAAGAAAAGTTTGAACTGGTAATTCTGGTAAGAGTAATTGGCCAGTGTCACAGATGTTTTATGAATGTCCTTAACATACTATTACTACCTCCAAGGGTGGAAAAGGTAAGGTGTTGCTGGCAATGCTATGGTGAAGAGCAGGGGAAAATACAGAGGGTCAACGTAGATAAATTCAAGAGATCATTCCTGACTCTACTAATATATAATCCTGTGAAAGTACGTTGCCATTTCAAGCAAGGCTTCTTTCAAACAGGATGGTGAAACTAGAGTTCATTAAGTGACAGAAAAAAATGTACTACCTTTAAATCGGGTATGAAGGTCATGTATTTCTCTAAATACAGGCTGCTAACTTATTTTGAACTAGCAAAGAATAAATCAGTCAAATTTTCTCCAGAGTACCTGTAATTCTCCTCTAAGATCACAACATCTAAATGCAGTCAGGAAATGGGAGTCTTCAGGGCTTCAGACTAAGGACTGACACAGTTGGAATTGCTGGCATTTTTCGTAAAAAAGGGGAGAGCACTTTTTGCAAAATGAGCATATTTTGAATGTCTTTCTTATCCAAGGAAAAGGTAGAAAAATCACTTTACATGTTAATAAGCCATAGGGTTAGATGAACTTAAATACACATTTTGTCATTCATTATGCATTTTGTCATTAAGCTTCTCAGAAAAAAAATATTAAAAAACCCTGCACCACCTGAGCTGTAGAAATTCAAATATATAGCATTTCCCTTTAGTTCACTCAAAATGTGCCTAGCTTTTTGTCTGAAAAGAAATTACATGCAGGACAGAAAGAAGCCATGGCTGCTGCTTCTAAATTCTAAAATACTGCATTGTCCTTTCACACTGCCACCCATCTCAGGGAGAGGGCTGTATTCCTAGGGCAGATCTGGGAATGATGTAGAGTATATATACACCCATGGATGCTTGGAAGAGGCACATAGAAATGTTACATTTTCTGCATTGAATAACTGTAATGTTACATCAGTGAGTATGTGAATGCTTCACTGGTGTTTGTGCTTCAAATACAAGTAAAAACACTGTTTTTCGTGCAAGTATACAAGTCCATAAGGCTTCACCTGAAAAGACAGGCAGCATAGTAAACCTGCTAGGGACCACAGAGACACTAGATCATCTGACTAAAGTCTTTTGGGGAAACTGGTGAAGCAGAGAGACATGTATTAGAATGCCCTCACAATCAAATACATGACAGGCAGGGAGATGCCGCCTCAATTAACAGATTTCTCCTTACTTGACGAAGAGCGGAGGTGCTAGATTTGTCTCACTGCTCTTCCCATTCCCCTGAGGCTTTGGGTTGAAGGCAGGGTGGCCCAGCAGTCAGTATATATCTGGTCTTACAGAGATCTGTCTCTGACTCTGCCTCCATTGGTGGAGCCTCTGTGACCAGGAACAAATAATTTGGTACTTCTGTCTCCGTGACTGCTGTTTGTCTGTCTGCTGTGATCAAACAGAATTGTTTCTTACCGTGTGTTTGCATATGCTTAGTTATGGTGAAGAGCTAGTTTTGGCAGAGGATAAGCTACATCAATCAAACTTAGATCCTCAGATCTGGTATGTTTTTTAGGTGGTGCATTCATCTCCCAATTAGCAAGATTACACTATTTATTTCTTAGCAGAAGCTGTCAAAACTATGAATATCTCAGTGTTCCTTATTTGATCTAATAGGAATATTACACTAGTAGAAGATGTTATACTGTTCTTTATCTTCATTTACAGCTATTCTGTTTCCCCCGGTTAGGACTAGGAGCACATGTGTTTGAGGCATCAGCCCAAATAGCACAGCAATAGGCAAAATTAAATGTATGAATCTTAACATTTAATTTATCTCCTCTTACTTACCTTTTGTTTCTAGACTGCTTTCCTTTTAAAGAGCTTGCCAGGCTTTTTTCACCCTCTCTGTTAAAGAAGGATTTAAGGCAGAAAGGAATTAAGTGGATTGCCCCAAGTCATCTCTTCAGTCTGGCAAATTCAGGACTAGAAGTTGGCTGTCTGATCTTTGATGTTTACGTGCAGCTTAGTAAACACTACAGTATTCCTTCTGCTTTTCCTACTGTTTTACATGTCATTTTTGTAAATACATTCTTCTAATCTTTTTTCTTCTCCTTCAATTCCTTTAATTTTCTTTGTAATCCACTCTGACACTTTCTGCTTCTCCTTTCTTACATATGAAAAAGATATAAAGAAGGAGAAGGATCTGCAAGGTCTGAATAAGATCTGTGGCAGGGTCCTTTGACTTCATTAACTATGACTTCCAGTAGAACATGATTGTAAGTCCTGCTTGGTTTCCATACCAGGCAAATACTGTGACCACCCTTGACCCTCAGCGACAGCGGTAGCTCCACACACCGCAGCTTAGTGACTGCTGCTCACATCTGTCATTCAGGTCACAAGACCGAAGTTGAGATATATGGCACAGAAGAAATTTTTATCCCATGGGAACTCTTCAGGAAGATATGTCAAAGTGATAAACATTTAACACATTGATATTTAGTTGAAAGTGCAAAATCAGACGTGTTAATTCCTCAGAGTCCCATATATGTTCTGCACCATCTCATGAACACATGGTTGGACTGGACCAGGTTGGATGATATTAATTTTTTTTCTTTCACTTTTTTCAGGAATGTCCCAGTGGTGTTGTCAATGAAGAAACCTTCAAAGAGATTTACTCTCAATTCTTTCCACAGGGAGGTAAGTACTTGACTGATGTAATTAGTACTGCAGTGAACAGAGAGTTTTGTTTGTTGGTTCCTAAGTCAGATCAAAGAACCTTTTGTCTATATTAACAAGATCGATGTCGTAGGCTCTGGCAGAACTCACGGGGTACTTCCCTGATGGCTGGACACAGTTTACAGTATCTCCTTCTGAATGAAATGCGATGATACCTATGAGAAGTCAGTCTTTTATGAAGTTAGTACCTGTGCTAGGGTACCTCTGAAAACCATTGTTCTCTGAGTAGGTTATTTCTTTTTAAACTTTCCACAGTCTTCCCCATTCTCTTTTATTCCACAAAACCTTTCACAGTAGGAATGAAAACTGTGGGAGGCACTATAGGTACCCCCTAATATTGATTGCAGAACTCCCTTGACTTCTATGGAGTTTCTCTACTTAGATGAGGGCTTTTTTACTAACCTCAATTTAAATTAATTAGTTTCCAACGGTTTCATTAATTTCTTTAACTTCATTATCTTTTAGTGCAATGAATGTAGCATAAAAATATGTAACAGTTTTTTGCCTTGAACCTTGGATTTTCTTTTAATTTGAATTGTTCTCTCTTTTCTTCCTCTTGCTTTTACCATTTAGTCCTCTCCCTACAGCTCTTCAATCCTGCCTCTTCATCTTCTCCCACAGCTCTTGAGATTTGCACGTTTCCCCAGGACTGTTCCTTGCTCTTTCTTTTCACTTGTATTATTGGTAGGAACAAAATGTCTCTTAATTAGCTTTATTTTGAATAAAGATCTAGAAGGTAAAGAGCAGCATTCATCACTCAAAATCCTTAACAAATAGGCACACTCAATAGGGAAGAACAAAAGGCTAAGAGAGTTGACCTGCCTACTGATTATGTCTATCTCTAAGCTTTTAAACCAGGCTAACAATTACAGTTTCAGATATTTTTAAAATACTCTGGCTAGTGAAAGTAATTTTCTGCATGTGATTTACTGCACCTTTACTACACTTATAATAATAAAAAAAAAATATGATATTTCCTATTGTTACATTCAAAACTGTTTATGGGCAAAGAGAAAGCACACCTTTTCTAAAAGTAAAGCTAAAATGTATTATGAGGATAAATGTAATTTTAAAAGCCTAATCTTTATTAGCCAGACCTAATTGTTATAGAAAGGAAAGAATATTAATATAGTTAAAGTTGACATGTAATCAATTCTGAGTTTCTACCCCTTTTCCTGGTGCTAGTGCTCACTCTTCTGCTGCTCCTCTGGGCCTTTAGGGCAGTGGCATCATTTAGGGGAGGAGGTGGGAACTGCAGTGGACTGCAGGCATCTGGAGCCCTTCCTTGGGAGGAATAGGATGCTCATGTCGATGCCATCTTCTTTCTCACTCTAGGATTCACCTGGGGTCATAGCTACAGATTTGCTAGGGCATTTTTACATCTTTCTTTTTCTCCATTGGTTTCCAGCTCGACATTGAACACGAATCTATTACAGGTGGTGACTTCTACATATTAGATACTTTTGGGTTTTGTTCTCTTTGCTACCCCTAAAACTAGTTTTGTGCAGCTCCACACCTGCATTTCTTTAACTGACCGCAGGTGAGTTGTTCATAGCTGTGAGGTCTCCAGTGCCAGCCTGTGCCCTGTCCCCTCTCATCCCACAGCTGCTCGCCTCCGTGCCGCATCCCGTCTCTCCACTGCACAAGGCAAAAAGTTCTTCTTTCCACAGCATCATTATGTTAGAATCATAAATACCTACTTCTACATAAAATAACTGCCTATTTCTGCTACTTGTGTAAAGCTACAGTTGCACTACAAAAGTAAAACTCATGGGCCTTAGAAACCTGCTCAGTCGGAGAGGCTGCTGCCCCAGCTAAACCAGTGGAAACAAAGCTGCCAGCTGACAAGCCTCCAGCCTGAGGCAAGCTCTCTAGAAAACTTGGTAGCAATGGCAATACTGCCACAGGTACACTCTTTGCTGTGACTTCAACAGTGCCAGTACTCTTTCTGCAAGAAGGGAGCTAAACTTCTCTGAAAAAAAAAAATAATTTTTTTTCTTGATTCATTTAAATACAGTGAAAAGTTAGATTTTTAGCAGGATAGAGAAGTATCCAATCCAGATAATTCATTCATCGGTAACAGATGTTGTGTACTCGTAACAGCATTATTAGCTTTCTTGGTAAAGCTATGTCAGAGACCTCAGCAAAGAGCACCAAGAAGTGACCAGCAGAAGCTACCCACTACCCCTCCCCAGCCTCCATGGCATCTACGCAACAGCGCTCAGCCACAGCAGCTCATAAAGACAGCACAGACAAATGTGAAAGCCTTAGGTAGTTTTCCTCACAATTTTAGGAAATATTCAGTGGAAATAGCAGGAAAGCTGAATCTCCTTGGAAGAGTAACACATCAGTGATCTTTTAATGTCTGTGGGCTCACTGAGACTTGAACTGTTTTGTGTAGGTTTTGTGCTGTTTTGTAGGTGTCTGTGCTGACTTTTAGCATTTTCTGAGAGGTATAGGAGCCAAAGGCTATTCTTTGTTCCTCGCATTAGCCCAGGTATCTTCAAAGCCTAATTAATAGTCTGTATTTGCATATCCCTGCATGCTAACAACAGGGTGAGAGAGATCATCATATCAAAGTGTCTGTTTAAGCAACCAGACTGGATACTTACATCTTTGAACCCATTGCCAAATTGTTGTGTGTGGCTGAGGCCTTCAAATTTCAGTTGCACTCAAAATATTGGTTTTATGCATGTCTGAACATTAAAGAAAAGGAAAAAAATTGAAAGCTGTGCCCAAATTAAAATGTGTGTCATACATGCAGATCTATGCCCCAATTGTCTACGCAATGAAAAAACAGATACAACGTGGTCTGTCATTATAACAATTCATATCTAAGAAACAGAATGATGTTGTGTAAGATTTTAAGCTTTAGGATGACCAAGCCATCACCAAAAAAAGTCACTTTCCCATGTTATCCAACAATTCACTTCCTCAAGTGACTTTCAAGACTATCCAGGACAAGGTGCAGGAGGAGTAGAAAGAGGACAAGGGAGGGCACAGGAGTAACAAAGGACATGACACTGGATTGCAGTAAAAGCAATACAATTTAACAGGGAGAAGTAGCTTTGTAAAAATCTTGCCATGACAGAAAGGCACTCCAGTAGCTTCTTTTTGAAAACCATAGCTGTAGAGTTGAATGAATAGGTCCCCTGTGTTCACCTGAAATGTAATTTGGGATTTCTTCTTCAGTCAGGAAAGTTGTAGATAAGAATCCACACACTGCCTAAATATTATACACCTCCTCGATTATGAACAGAACAGGTTATGTTCGTGGTTTGATGTATAATGACTGTCATTTTTTTTGTCTCTCATGTTTAAAATGCATTAATGGTGCATTCCAAAGGGATTAGGATTTAGTATCTGTTCCTGTCTCAGCCTTTCAACCATACTAGCTATGATACCAGATCTTTGAAAAGAAAGCAAATTTTATTTCAAAAAGTTATTCTTTTGCCTATCATGATTAATATTCAAGATTTAGGGGAGAGAGGGGGCAGTGGGGAATCACATTAGGTAGCTCTAATTATTTTTTTCAGAAAGTGTTACTAGAAAGATTTTTTAACTGGAGATATTTTTTTCATATACCATCATACAAAAACAGTAGTATATTGTATGATCTGTGGGCAATAAACAAAAACTGTTGTGTTTTCTGTAAATCTACAGAAAATAATTAGAAATATTTGACTTGGTTTTAAGAAATCAATGCCAAGAGAATGGGAACATATTTAAAATTGAGTTTACAGCAATTATATCTCTATAATAGGTTTTTTCTCTGGGGCTGGTTTGCATAGGATATTCTGTTGCACAACAGAAGTCTCAGTAGATTATAGAAAAAAATGATTCTTGAAATCCTAAATATAAATTGACAAATTCCCATTTTTCAGTTGAAGTGGGAATTTATCTGCTAAGCTATACTTAAGCAATTATACTGATGTTTAGATACATCAGTGAACGAATGAATATCTCAATAGTATTGGTTGTTTGAGTTTTTTTAATTCTCTGAAAATGCATTAACAGACACAGGATTTAAAGGTTGCAGAGCTTCTTGTTAGATTTATTTCACATCATATGAAATGAACACAGACGACCAGAGACTTTACTTACTAAAATCAGGTCTGAATCGCTGAAGTGTAAAGTTTTGAGTTTTGATATAGTTAGTTCCTTGGGGTCAGGATGGCATTTCAGATAAGTGACACAAGACCATCACTCAGTTTAATCCAAAATGATATTTTGGGCTGTGACAAATAAAAGTTTTCAGTGAAAGGTAAAATTGTTTTGTGCCAGGAAATAGGAAAAGGCATCTCAGCACTGGTGAGGCTTTTCCATGACAGGGAGAGTTTTGACCTGCAAGGGGGAGACAGTTTTCATAGAACTTCTCACTTTATGAAAAGTTTGTGAGGTTAATGTTAATTAACCTAAAATTAATGTAAATACATGAAGAAGAAAATCAATGAATGTTGAAAGTAAATAAAACCTCAGTCTGCATTCATTTGCATCGTTTTGAGGGAGGGAAAAGACACTGAGGAAAGCTGACTTCCCGTAACGGCAGCAGCTTGGACCTCACACCAACAGGGCAGTCTCTGGAGAAGTTCTCTCCTTGCAGTAAGTTACTCCTGGAGCCAGTTGTGCCTCTCAGAAGACATTCAGCTGAAATGGAAGGGCAGCTCTTTATAAAAACTTAGAGGCCTAACAAATTCATGCTGTCTCGTGCTTCTAAAATGAGTTGATTTGCACTAGTCAGTATTTTTCAAGAGTTTAATAAGTGAAGAGATCACTTGTTTAAGGTCAACTTTCAGAGTCTTCCTGACCACTTCAGCTGTCACAGCCAGTTTTTCCAAGATGTTTAAGCACCTAGCCCTCATACCATGGTCATGGGAATGAAGCAGCAAACCAACACTAAGAACCTTCTTTCCTGGACAGGCTTTTATTTAATTATTTTATCAGCATGTGACCTGAGTGCAGTGGCAGCAGCAGCAGCTTTCTGACATGCTCAGCTTTAACCTGAGCAACAGGCCTGTCTTCAGAGCAAAAACAATATGCCAGGTGCACAGATGGTAGTGTCTGCTTCCTTCATTTAAAGTGGACAAATGAAGCCGTTTTTCTTTTTTAACATATGAGATAGATCCCCTGTCAAGGTCATTTGACTGGTAATGCCGCGATGCCATTAACACAGACAGGTTGTTTCAGAGTACAATAACAATGCTTCTTTTCTAGTCATTCAGATATCGGTGATTAGTAGAAATGGGAATGCAGAAAGATATTGCAGAATAAAATTTTAGAATTTCTGTTCCTAACAGTGTAGCTACCTACATACTTGCACATATAATTTATACCTCATCCCCTGCCAATAAAGAAGTTTAAACTGAGTTGAAAATTTAGTCTTGCTATTAAATTTTGATATCAAATTCTTTCATGGAATGAAATTAAATGAAGTAAGATGTGCTAACTATGAATTATTTTTACTATTTTAAATTGTAGATTCTACAACTTATGCACATTTTCTGTTTAATGCATTTGACACTGATCACAATGGATCTGTAAGTTTTGAGGTAAGTGATACTATTATTTCTTTCTCTGAAATGGAATATTTTGCCCTTCCTTGTAATTGAGTCCATTTTAGTAGCTTTTATTAGATGGGTCACATTATGAAAAAATTAGCTTATGTGACTCAATTTTCAAGTTTTTCCAAAGTATTAACAAAAGTCATTATCATTAGTTTACAATTGTATATCCCAAAATGGTAACTCAGGCTGTGCTGCTACGTAATATTTTCATAAATTTGTTCATTTAAGGGGTAACCCAATTTATAGGCAAGTTACATAAAATCTTATTTTCCTCCCTGCCTCTGCAAGGTGAGGACTCTGAACTGCAACTAATGTTATGGGGATGACTCAGCGAAAACAGGATTGCCCACACACTCTATTAGTTTCCAGGAAAAGGCTCTACAAAAAAAGGCTTTAAAGCAAATGTATTGAAAAGCACAAGAGTTTGAAATCCATTCTTCCTCTATTTAACTGAAAAATATGTTTTCAAAATTCTGCTTTTCCTTTCTAAGGTGATGTTGTCATCTGCAAAGGTTGGTGTTGTCAATGCAATAATATACTAAAACGGGCAACTTGCTACAATAGATTAAATCAGGGTGTGTACAAAATGCTATGGAAGAGACGTTATTTTAAGTTATAGAAATAAAATAATTAAATCTCATTTAATTTGCAAAAGCATATGTTTGCTTTGTTGTGCTTTGCTTTGTTTTGTTTATAATGGATGAATGATATCCTTGCAACTTGAGATTGGTTTGTGGTAAATACATACCCACTTGTTTTTATGTTTTTTGGGGTTTTTATGTTTTACACTTGGTTTTATGATTTACTTGAGTGAATGATGTTGTGAGGTCTGACAGAAAATTTTTTGAAAGCATTTTCATTGCTTTATTATTGATGTAGTATGGAAGGAGAAGCCTCACCAAGCAGATGCACTGCACTGTGATCAGAAATCTATACTTCAACTGGGACTATAACATGATCATTTTGTGAAATATTGGCATTTAATAAAAACAAAAGAAAAAACAAAAAAAACCAAACCAAACATGAATCCTATCTACCTTTTTCTGGGCATCTGATATCGATGGGCTCCATGTGAAACTAGAAGCAGGAATGGAGGTTTTATTTGCATCTTCTGTAAGTAGGCTAATTTGGCAAGAAATCCTTCTGGTCAAATCAGCAACAGCAGAGGCGATGAGAGAAAGCACTTTTAGCATCAGCATTTGAAAAGTGTTTCTGTTGTTATCACTAAGAATAATGAGAACAAAAGAAGCTTTTGTAGCTTTCCTGGACAATTTGTTGACATTTTTATCTCAGAAGGAAAGCCTTAAGAAATGCAGTAAGTATGAAGTGTATTTTAAGGGATTTGAGTATCTCTAAGTGCAGGTCTGTGTACAAACCCCCAAAAAACAACAAAAAAAGGTTTTGGAATAAATCAGGAAAACAAAAGAAACACTGTTTTTTCTTCGCCAAAATAGACATTTCTAGCTAACTTTTGTTCAGTATTGACACAGACAGAGCAATTCAGGCTTTGATATTATTTGGAATCCCGCATAACTCTATTGCTGTCCAAGGACTCTTGTTTCTGTATCCTTTTTCCATGTAGCAGCATTATACTTACAAACTGTATGACAGCCATTCTAAAAGCATCACCCTTATGTTAAAAAGGTTTAGATTTCTTTTTCTTTTCATGTGAAAGTAGTTGCAAAATGCCAAAGTACATATTGTGAAATGTAAAAAATGCAATCATATAATTTTTTCTATACCAATCCATACTCTAGTTTTCTCATTTCCATTAAGAAAACAAAACCAAAATCAAAACCCAAACAAAAACCAAACATCACAAAAGGTAGAGAAAAAGAAAGTGATTAAAAAAATTGGAGAATAAATAATTATTAATTCCAATCTATTTTCAATATCAAAGTGTAAATACAATTTAATATAACGACCTATGATGAAAAACACTCTTCAGGTCTCTTCTTTGTAAAAAGGATATAAAAATTGGAAATTGTACTGAAAGAATGTAGGTAAGCATGACATATTTTTGTGTTGCACTCTTCTTTTTCAGTGAAAAGTGAAGCAGTGGTAGCTAGACTTGTGGGGAAGAAGAAAGAAAGAATTTGTTCTAGCTTTTTGTTATTTTTTCCTCAAATTTTCAACCATCAACAACGAATTGTTAGACTTTAGCACAGCTTAAATGCACAGCTTCATTGGATGAAATTGCTTGGAGAGATTGCTAGAGTTTTGTCATCCCTAAATCCTTATAATCTGATAAAAGTCAGGCTCTCTGACTGGAGCAGTTTATGTTGCATAAAAACCAAATTCTTGAAGCTAGCTGCTTGAACCTGTCTCTCCTTATTCTATCATTGTATCAACTTCGAGACCAGTTTGTTTCATTTGTTAGGCCAGCTAGTTTTGCTTTAATGTGAGGGACAAACCTCTTCAGAAAACCTCATGACCCAGCTCTTTTGGGATAAAAGGGCTCTTTTGGCATATCAGTGAACTGAAGTTCTTCTTTCCATAAGAGGCAGATGAGAAAGCAAGGTTTCCACTTGCTGCATAAATGTTGTAACTGAACCGAAATTAAGATATGAGCCTCAAGACTATTTGCACAGTCAGGAAAATTGAGGCTAATTAACTTTAAACATATAGTCAAAGGTAAAGCATGTTGCACCCACATGCAAATATCCAAATCAGTATCCTTAGTTTGTTGTAGATGCAGATTAAAGCTGTTCTAAATGTGAACTTGATGAGTGGAGAGTCACTCAGTAATTCAACTGATTCTCAGTGCCTTAAAGTACAAAGCTGTACCCAAATGGAATGGGGATGAGATTTTTGTCAATTTTACTCATAAAACCCCTTGGATTTATTTCTCAAAAAGATGATTAATAATTATTAGCAGATTTGTTTGTGATTTTCTTATTGCTTTATTCCTCAATTGTTACCTTAGCATTTTTCATTAATTAATAAATTAACAAGCATGTTAAACTCAGTTCCAAATCCAAATCCTAAGACCAAACACAACTTTGCTATTTTGCTAATAATAACAGTGATAAACAGTCATTGTCTCCGAGGCAGTAATATGGGGTAGCAGTTTAATGAGTGTATTCAAGTGAGATTCTTTCTCTGTGTTCAACACAAAAAAACTTGTTTATATATTTTCTCAGGACAGTGGGGATCTCATAAGCATATTAATACCAGTTGGTATTAAAATATACCAGCTTTAATGAAATATACTACCTCTTAGCAGCAGTTCTTTCTGGGTGATCTTTGTTTTATGTGCACCAGGGCTCCATCAACTCTATGACTAACAGTCATCCCTTGATTCCTTCCCCAAATCCCAAGAGCTGAATCCCAAAATGGATTTAGGTGCCTACCTACTTCTTCTGGCCTTGAACAAGACATAAAAAGAACCTGTGATCAGGTGGAATAATTACAAGTTTTCCTATGCATTTGAGACACCACACTATTAACTTGTAAATTAATTTATTAATGAACTAGTTCTCCCTGAAGATTTACTGAGGGATCAAGTAATCAGCAAACTTACTAAGAGATAATTAATCACTGCTGGAAAAAATAAAGAAATACAAGTTTATCCTGGATTGCAGCCAGAGGCTCTATGCAGCTGCAGTGCAGAACCAAAATGTGAGCAGGCTGTGATACTGAGCACACAGAAGCTCCAGTCCAGGTGCGATGATGCTCCAATTTGCAACCTTTCAGTGAAAGGTTCTCCTTTCTTGCAAAGTCAAAGTTAGGCACAGGAGAGATTCCCATTTAATGGAGGTCTTCCAGGTATTAGCACACTCGGCAGGAAGCTGGCACGTTAGAAGTAGAAATCTGTGGAAAGGAGTAAAGGCACAAACTTGTGGCCTTCTAACTTTGCTGTCACAGACTGGAGAGATGTATTTGTGAAGACCTCCCCAAAGTTTTAGGCTTCTTTGGGACTCTAGATAAGATGTACCGTTGCTTACTAGGTGCTCAGCTAAGCTGGACTGTCCCTCTCAGTGGAGAGTGTTGGCATTCTTAGGGGATGTAAGTGTCCAAGCAGTGCTGCAAATCTTACTTCAAAAGTAAATAGGTTCTAAAAGCAGAATTCCTCTCTCCCCAGAAATCAGATGTCTAGTGCTATATTTTTCAATTGTCTGAAAGTGAGTATGTAGAAAAGATATCCCTTCCTAACTGGTCTTTATTCAACTCATCACAGCTTCCTCTTATGATAAATCCTTTCTGTTGTTCCTGAGATGGACTCTTGCACAACACTCATCCAAAGGCAACGTACCTGAACTGAACCATATGTGATTCCCAAACATGTTGATGCAATGTTCTTCCAAAGATTGGAGCACATACCTTGAAGGTTTTTGAGTTGTCTCAGCTTTTATAAGGACTTTCAATCTCATGCAAAACAGCATAAATCAAGGGGGTTTTATGTGTGGCTTTTAAAACCAAATAAAGAAGGACAGCCTTGCAAATGGAGAAATAAATGACGCTAGGAAGCCAACTAAAGTATGGATGGTGCATCACAGAAAGAAGAAAAAGAAATAGTCAGGAAAAGGAAAATATATATGATTTATATAGAATAAATGCAAAAAAATGTTGCTGGTTCATACATTAAAAATAAATTCAGAGTTCTGAAATACAATATTGTAGGAGAATAAAGTTATTGGAGACCTTTACAAAGGTCTTCAGGAAAAGATATATCAAGAATGTAAAACAGTGCAGAAAGGATTTGAAGACATGTTACTGAATTAAAAAGGTTAATTGCTAATGCTGTAATGTGATCAAATCTGTTCTGAATTTCTTGAACATTTTAATACTTAATAGTACATTGTTAAAAAGCTGTTTGGAGATTTAACCCTGTGACCCTCAGTTAGTCACTGAGATGCAGACAAGACAAGTTGAGCAAAACTCTTTCAAGAGTCATGTATCCATCTACCCCAAAGGGCACAAATACCCATGAGACAGAAACTTATGACAAAGAAAACCCAGAGCATGCCACTTGAATTGTTAAAAAGACTGGAGCTGTCAAAAGAGCTGTCTGTGCCTACTAGACCATCTGAGGTCATGATATCTGTGTATGCTTCACTGGATCGGGTATACTTACCTGACTGTGTGGTACATCAGACCTTTGTCATTTATGTCTATCCTCGGTGCAGTCTTTTCCATTGTTCCTGTTTTAAGGAAATGCATAAACTTTTGGGTGCTGATAGGAATTTTTTCAGCTTTTATTGTCTCTGCTTTAATGTTACTCTAAGACTTCCTGTATATCTTTGCCAGTGAAATAGAAATGGACATTTAAAAATAAGTTCTTGACATATTCTGCTCAACCTGTTATAGAGATAATTTCAAAGATTTATGAGTTTACAAGCTTTAGAAATAGAAAAAGGTTGAGGAGACTCTTAGAAAATACAAATTCCCATTGTTTAATGAAGTTAACATGCTGAGAAATACAGAAGACAGGTGATGACAAGTTCCCCTCGGTATTTTCTCCAATCTGGAAGATGCTCACTAAATGTAAAAGAGGTTTTTGTTGTCAAAAGAGTATTAATTATGAAACAAAAGTCTATAACCAAATACTAGTTATAAATAATCTCAAAAGTCTTCTGATTTATTTCTGTGGAATAGCTCTGCAGCAATAGACCATTGGTGTGTCACAAAATCATTAAGGTGGTACATGGACACATAATAAATATAATTCCCTATCATATTTCCATAAAAGGTTTCAGTATTGAAGTGTGCTGTAGCACACATGAAGTTTCAGATGTTGACTGCAGCAGATTGATCTAAGAGGTCTGGAAATCACATATTCCACTTCCAACAAGGTAGAGATTTAACAAGAATTTAATGTTGCTTGGTAGATAGTTCCCCCAAAATTGGTCTCCTGTGCTTAGATTAATCTAACTCTCACTTAAGCTTTTTCTGGACCATTAAACTGTGGGGACTGCTTTTCCCTGGTTCAACAAGATCTGCTTATGTGAGGCATTTCAGAGGATAAATCCACTAACAGAAAATTCTGGCTTATTTTATAGAAAATTACTCAATTTACTTCTCTAATATGAGTGTAGCAAACAGCACCTACATTGTTAATTATTTTAAAAAACAGCAATCTATAACACATATTGTGAAGCAAATAAACCCACATCTTTCCAGACTCCGGTGCTTCTGATGAATGCATTATTCTGGATTTCTGAGTGTTTGTGAAAAACTGTTGGATTCCAAACTGACCAAGACCTTTTGTCTGTTCAGGATTTCGTAATGGGTCTCTCAATTTTACTCCGAGGGACAGTACAGGAGAAACTGAACTGGGCTTTCAATTTGTATGATATAAATAAGGATGGATATATAACTAAAGAGGTAAGGTCTACTTTTTACACTAATCACTGAAACTACAGATGGTGTATGTAAGTCCTACTTTCAAAGAAGAATGGCTTCATTGTCAAAAATAAACATATATTATGAAACTAAACATGCTGAAAATAAAGAAATTTTCTCATTTTAAAGGCATATGTAAAATTTGAAAAGGAAAAATCTTTGGTCCTGCCTGACCAGTCTCATCTCCTTCAGTGACTGGGTGTCCCACCTAGTGGATGAGAGGAAGGCTGTGGATGTGGTCTACCATGACTTCAGCAAAGCATTTGACACAGTGTCCCACAGCATCCTCCTGGAAAAGCTGGCAGCCCATGGCTTGGACGGGTGCATCCTTTGCTGGGTAAAAAACTCTCTGGATGACTGAGCCCAGAGTGCTGCATTTAGTTAGCGTCTGGTGACCAGTGGTGTCCCCTAAGGATCAGTACTGGGCCCAGTCCTTTTCAACATCTTTATTGATGGCTTGCATGAGGAGATTGAGTCTACCCTTAGTAAGTT